CTAGCTGTGTGCAGACCATGCTGGAAGGGAGGGGCACCAGGAGAGAGGCCAGTGCCTGTTTAGCCTCCCTGACTCCAGCCACGCGACTCCACTTCTAACCAGACCTCCCACTCTGGGGAAAGCCTGAGCCCCCTCAGAGTTTAGAATGTGAGTCCTTACAAGCCTGGCTAAGCAGAACTTGAAGAAGCTATCAGAAAAAACAATAGTTAGTTCTCTTTCTACGTGGATATACCAGACACCCAAGCAGTCACTTGGTGGTAACTGGCAGTGATTCTGTTTAAGGCAAGTAGTCACTATTTACCCTGGGACATTTGTGACCTGGACAACTGAGTCTCCTCTCAGCCTAGCATGGGCACTGTCTTCTTTAGGATGATCCCAACACAGTGAAGCACGTCCTGGGGGCTCAGTTCACACTCCAAAGGCCCCCAGCTCCCTGACGACACTCCAAGTTCTTAATTTTCACCATGCACCAGGATATCCTGGGGAGAGATACGGCAATAGGAGAAATGAGCGCCCAGGTTCCACCTCATGAGTTTCAGATTCAGTTAGTTGGTCTGGGGTAGGGCCCAAGAGGCCTACCTTTCAAAAGCTGTTGAGGTATGACGGTGTTTTTAATGCATTCACTTGGCTACGCTACTGTCACGAACTGAGTATTTGTGTTCCCCGGAGGTCATGTGTTGAGCCTCTACCGGGGTGGGATGGTATCAGGATGGAGAGCCTTCGGGAGGAGATCAGAATTGAGTCTGAGGGTGGGGGCTTCATGAATGGGGCTGGTGCCCTTATAAGACCCCACAGAGCTGGCTGCTTCTTTGTCTTCCCACCTCGTTAGGACACAACAAGAACCTGGAAGAGGGCACTCCCCAGAACCTGCCGATCTTCACCCTTTGATCTCGGATTTCCAGCCTCCAGAAGCACGAGAAATCAATTCCTGCTGTTGATAAGCCACTGGGTCTTTGGGATTCTGTTATTGTGGCCTGAACCAGGACAGCTGCAGCCCTCAGTTATTTAGTCAAGCACTAATGAGGCATTTTGTAGTTGTGATTCAAGTCCATAATCAGTTGACTTTAAGTAAAGGAAACTAAGTCTGGGTGGGCCTGATTCAACTTTTGGAAAGGCCTTTGGAGCAGAGCCGAGGTGTCCCCAAGGAAGAAGCCATCCTGCCCGTGGGCAGGGCTGCAACCCGGCCGAGGGCTCCAGCCAAGGTTCCTGGCAGCACGCCCCACGGCCTTCATACCTGCCCAGCCAGCCCTGCGCTCAGGAACGCCGATCTGTGCAGCAAACCTCTCGATGCCTGTCTCCTGCTGCTCTGGTTTCCCAGCGGAACCCAGACTGTTGCTCTGGCTGAGAACCAGGGAATTATTCAGTAACGGCTAAGCCAAAGGGCTTCAGAATAAAATCACCAAGGTCACCCTGGCTCAGTTGGTTGGAACACTGTCCTGTACATCAAAAGGTTTCAGGTTCAGTCCCCAGTTGGGGCATGTGTGAGAGGCAACGATTGATGTTTAACTTTCGCATTGACATTTTCGCTCTCTCTCTCTCTTCCTTCCTCTTTCCCTAAACTCAATAAGCATATACTCCAGTGAGAATTAAATAATGGTAATAAAATAAAAAACCAAGTTCGACTCTCATCCCTTCTGCCTTCACCTCTGTGACTGCGGGTCCCTCCGCTGTAAAATGGGGTGCACGGAGTCCGCTGCACAGTCACAGTGTAAAGGCTCCGTGAGCATCAGGCCTGAATGGTGTCCAGTGTCTTACAGTGTCAGGCTACTCTGGGCCACAGCCATAAAACGCCATTCACATAAACAAACAAACAAACAAACAAACAAACAAACAAACACAAAATGAGCGTGGTCTCCCACCTCGCTGCATGAGTCCTAAAGTCCTAAAGTTTAGGACTTTGTTTTAGGGTCTCCTAAGCACTTCCTTCCCCCAGCTCACTCCCCCAGCTCGCTCGGCATGCATGGGGCACGCGGCAGGGCACCCCTGCACTCAGTGACCCCAACCCCACTCTGTGCAGCAGCGGGAGGTGAGTCACCCGGCTCTGGGAGCTAAAGGAAGCAGTGATGCAGGGAGCCAAGAGCTCCACCAAGTTTATACAAGCGGAGTTTGTAAGTTTTACTGGTCACTAGTCAACACTCTCCAATGGTGTTTTAATAGGTGCTTTGGTTGCAGGGCTCTAGGTCTTGCTGATAACTGGGGAGAGGAGTGGCGGCCCTGTGCTCCCTCCCACCACCTCATTTCGTCCGCGGCTTGGCGGTGCCCTCTGCTTCCCCTTGCTGTGGGGAAGAGGGAGAGAGAGAGAAAATGTCGATGTGAAAGGACACTTTCCTACCTCGGAATTTCCTCCTCTCACCTCCCGCCCTGCAGGCGCCCGGTTCGGCCTTCCATCTGGAACACGAGTGCCCTCTGGTGGCCGTATGCTGCAGCAACTACTCCCTCAGCAAGAACGTGTTTGCTGGAAACAGCTCTGGGAAATTCTCGCTTGTTCTGATTTCTTCTTAAGCCACGGTTGCTGACATGCTCCAGCGAAGCCTTGGCAGAGAGCGTCTGCTTCTTTGTCACCTACTCTGTCACTAGCCATCTGAGTATGACCTCAGCAGCTCCTGTTACCTCTCCGGATCTCTGTTTCCCACCTGTAAACTGAGAGGATTAAAACGGACCATCTCCAGCTTTAACACTCAAGATTCCAGGGCTTGTGATTCAGGGATAGTCAGTCATTCACTCAACAGGTTCTATGTGTCAGGTGTAGATGTTCAGGCTCATCAGCGACCAAACCTGTGCATTCCTGGACTTTCAACTGCAGCAGGAGACAGTTAATAAGCAACAGGCATAATAAAGAAATGAAGTATATTTTAGAAAGTGACCAATGCCGTGGGGAAAACAGAGCAGGTGTGGGAATGGGGTGTGGTGGCCAAGGGAAGGCCATGGGAGGGGGCAGTTTTAGGTGACAGAGAGGGGACAGGCTCTGAGACATCTATCACCTCTGACCGGGAGGGGCAGGAGGGAGCTAGTCCTGCAGAGGTCCCAGGGCAGAGCGCCCGGGGGGAGGGAAACCCACAAGAGCGCCTGACGTGAGAGCTGTGACCCACGTGTGGGGACAAATGGGATGGTGGCAAGTTCTGGTCAGATGACTGTTAACTGTGGTGGCTCCTGGACCATCCTTCCATACGGGACTCAAACATGGTTTGATAGGACTTCTCAGGGGTTTTTATTCAGGTGTCCCAGAGGTGACAGCCAAGTCCCCTTTCCAGAGTGTTCTTCTCGGTCCGTGTTGGAGGGGTGCTCTGTGAAGAACTGGAAACGCTTCCCAATAATGCTGCCACGGTCCCCTGATGAGGTGCCCAGACCTACACTGGAGCGCGCACCCCTCGGGTCTCTCTCTCCAAGGAAGCCCTGTGTTGGCTCTGAGTTGGTCTTCAGAGCTAACAGGAAAGTCATTATTCCAAGGCTTCCAAATGAGTCGTGAAAGAATGAGTCCCACCCTTCTCTTCACTCTTTTCACTAATCAAATTTATGTTCTTTGTAACTTCTGAGTTCACCCTGTTTCTATATATGAGGTGAGGTCAGAATAAACAAGAATCCAGTTAAATCTTCTTAGAAATCCTAACAAAAAAGTAATTTCTTTGAGATGAGCTATGGAATATTAGAAGCCATCTTGAGATAAGTCAGATCAGATGTGTATGGTTAGTTCTTTAAAATAATGTAGCACTTCAGATGAACGCCAACTGTAAGCGTACACACAATATTTCCAACTACAAAATGGACTGAGGGAGTGAGGATCAAGACAATGGTTCGTAAATAAAAGCTTTAACCGTAAAGCTTCCTTGATAAAATCCACCAGTGGATTTAAATTATTGTATCAAAATTTAAAATACATACTTTGAACACACCAATTCCACATGCTAAATATAAGGCTATTCCTCACAGCTTTCTAAAATTTTTATCCTCACCCAAGGGCCTATTTTCATTACTTTTAGAGAGAGGAAGGGGGAAAACATCAACGTGAGAGAGAAACATCCATTGGCCGCCTCTCGTGTGCCTGGACCAGGGACGGTACGCACCGGATCAGGGATTAAACCTGCAATCCTGGCATGTGCCCAGACTAGGGATCTTTTCAGCTATGAAAAACAAACTCGCAATCTTTCACCTATGGAAAGATGTTCCTACCAACTGAGGCACATCAGTCAGGGCCAAACCAGCTTTTTATACCAGCAAAAGCTTGTCTTTTCAGAGTACTGGTTAAACAAATTGTCTGCATGACTGAATACCACGAAGCCAGTGAGAGAATGGCGGGGGTGCGGGGTCTAGCATGTCAAGACCTCCAAGATACAATGAATTTAAAAGCAGGGTGACGTGTGAAGAACGCGCCATCATTCCTGTACAGGAAAATGCATACGCGGTGAAATCTGCAAATACACAGAGCACTTCTGAACCATCAGCACACGCTGTAATACCCTCCTTTGTGGTGAAACAAATGGGTGGCCAGGCCAGCAGAGGGTGAGTCCCTGTCGTTCTGTCTCAAGTCTCAAGTGCATGATATCCACTCAAAACTTTCTATTACAAACACACTCCCGCCCAATATGAAACACGTTTTTCTCAAATGTGGTTCGCCAATGCTGGAAGGACTTTTGTCAGACTGATTAGTTTCTAGGGTATCCCAAGCTTGATTTTTTTCTGTCAATACAAAAATTGGGTTTTCACTGTATGACACTGAGCAAGTCAACGACCTATGTGGCCTTCAAACTCTTCATCTGAAAATGATGAGCTTATACAATCAATGATTTCCACCAATCCCTTCCTGGTTTAGGACACTGTGATTATATGACTTGATTTTGCAATAGTTGACGAAAAAGTGCAGTAAGTTGGTAAAGAGAATTGGCACTGTGGCAAAGTGTGGCAAAAGTACATATATATAGCTACCACTGCTTTTATAACATATTTTACTAAACCACACTCTCCCATTAATATTTGAAATATCCCAGGACAACCAAAGAGGCATATTCAACTGAAGAAATTTATTTACTTTTTTTTCTAGGTACATAGATGACAATTATAGACAAGTTTTGATACATAGGAAAACCCTTCTGTCCTTTCTCTTTTGCTAAATGAATCATCACAATAATTTTTACAATTTTTAAAACAATACACAGCTTTCTTGGGCTGAAGCAATCGCAAGAACATATTGGTACTGGTATATTACAGCTACTTACAATGTTTAAAAACAGCAATGGAGAAAAATAAGTTATTTAAATACTGATTTCATATACAGAAAGTGCAATGTTGTTAGTTGTTATATAACTTGCTTGACAGTTGTTTTATCAATTTAAAATCAAGATGACTTGGACTCAGACGACGAGACTTATTTTTCTGAAAATAATACAGCACAGGCACACAGCACTGACTTGGTGAACGGACTTCTTTTGCTGCAGTTATGAAAGCAAACTTTGCTATGTCAGGAACTGATTACCAATACACCAGTAATTTCCAATGCTGCCCACCCCCAGGTTCAGGACAGAGAAAGGGGCCTCTGACTAAGGCAGGCCTTAAAAACATCTATCTCCTACTTGGTTATTTGGGAATGTAACTAGTGGTTGGGGCTGGCGGCATTTCCTTCTCGACAGCTTCAGTGACAATTCACACGATGCGTATGTAGCTACCTGAGCCTGGCTACCAGGCCAGGTTTCTTTTGTGCTTCCCAGAGACCATTTTCTCTGTTCCTCCACATTCCGAGCCGGGTGCACCTGAGTCAGCCTGCACGTTGCCGACACCTGCCTTCTCCGCCCACAGGTGGCCCCAAACCACCTCGGTCAAAAGTCACACACAAACACGGAGGCTTTTCCAGGATCAGATGAAAAGTTCAAAGCAAAAGAAGACCAAACGAGTATTAATGATTTAAAAAAAAAAAGGATTTACAAAAGCACAATAAAGTAAAAAAACAACCTCAGACCTTTCAGATTAGGAAGACCTTCCCACCGACAATTATCCGTGGTCCCTGAACTGGAATTCTCTCTGCAGAGGCAATGCTCTCCGGAGAAGAGCTGACAACTTACCGTTTGGCATTCTCAAAAGCTCAAGCTCGGAAAATTCCTTTTTCCGGTGCCATTTTTACTTCAGTGGAAACGTTACAGTGAAAGTGAATGAAAACTTGGAAGTCACACAAGAGCCCTCTCCCCCTTTACCTTTCGGACCTTTGTGTGGTGTTGGTGCAGCGTAAACCAGGAGATGGGCCTGCACCAACAGCAGAGGAGCCCGCTGAGGGCGGGGTCTCGGTCGCAGGAGGGCCCTGCAGCCTTGCTCCTTCTGGGGGCGGAGATGGGGGTTTCTGCTAACAGGGCGGTCACCACCCACCGGGACAAAAATGGGCTCTTTTGAAGGGTGCCACAGAAATTTGGCAGTGTTAGCCTTTTATCCGAGATTTCCACAACTTCTTCACATGGCACCTTACAGAAACTATTATTACTGAAGAAATATATATATATAATTTTTTAAAATGCATACCAAGGCATGAAAAAAGTTTATCACCTGAGAACATCCTTTTCCTCAGAACATGGATACAAGTATATAAAGCAAACACTAAAGATGGCTTTGTAATGAACAAAATCGCTTTTTGATGAAGGCTTTGTGTTCCAAGTGTTCCTATTGTAAATAATCACATTCAATGCTTGGAACAGTGCTCATGGTAAGAACATAAAGCAAAACCGTTTTGTAAGCAATGGGAACCTTCCTAGTTTAGTTGTCTGACTTTCACTCTGCTGGAAAGTCAGACGCAAGACTAAAAAGAGGAAAGAATAGGCAGAAATCAGTGGGAAACAATGGAAAATATGCAAATACTTAATACACAGCTAAGGTGGTTTGTCTGGCTCCACAAGGAACCTTTATTTGAATTAAAAGAACTATCTCAATAAGAAAAGAGGAAAAAATAACATCCTAATGGTAAAACTGAAGAAAAAACTTAAAGAGCTCTCTTAAACTAATTCCCTTTTGGAAAACGTCTTTCTGGACAAGTCAGCCTTGCACGGCCGCTGGGGAAGGCGGACTGTGGGCAAGCTGGGGGTGGGACGCGCGGGTGGAGACATTGGGAGGCGAGGCAGCAGCGCTGTGCCACGGTGACCACCACGGCGACCACCACGGTGACCACCACGGTGAGGACACCGCACAGAGTCAAAAGAAAGGCAGTTACTATACACCCCCAACCCCCCCCCCCCCCGGTCCCCAAACACTCCCATGTACACACATGACAGCTTGGTGAATTTTGGATAGTTTTTCTCTGGAGTTTGTAGTTGGTTTAACAACTGAACACCGGTATGAAATTGGTGCCTGAGACACACTCCCACAGAATAAGCCACGTTAGAATGAGATCATCAGAAAAGCCCGTTTTCTTTGCTGGAAACAACCGGATATGTGAGACGGCAGTCTAAGCGGAAGATCTGGAACTATGGTTACAGGGTAGTGAACACGACTTAGATAACTGCTTGAAAGCTCGTATTAAGGCAAATAAAAGCTGATTGCTAGAAAGCAATTATTAAAATGTCTCTTGTTTATCTAAAGGAGAATAGGACTTTCTTTTCCCTAGTGCAGACAGATTTTCTTACTTTTGAACCAATGAGCACGTCAACCGTGTACAGTCACTCCCGAGTCTGTTACTTTGGCCTAGCTAAGCCTGCCTGGTCCTCGGGTATCCTGCAGGGTGACGGGCAGAAGGTCAAGGGCCCTATCAGAGAGGAAACAGCTGCCCCTCCCTCTGCCCCCAAGCCCTCTTCCTGGCGCGCCAAGACAGACCGGAGGCACAGCATTTGTGGCGAGTTGGCATCTTGGTTCTATTCTGTTCTGGAAATAAAAATAAGCGCTTGTGTTTTCTTTGGGGGGTTGAAGAGAACCACACCAATTTCCTCAAAGGGGCTTTTCTGGGAAAGAGAGGGTCCCTTGGTCCTATGCCGAGGCTTTGAGCTGTTTAGCCGCACACTGGGCCGCTCCCCTGGATCTGGTCTGCTTGTCCCGGGAAGGAGCAGTTGCATCGGCATCGTAAGCACAGTGAAAGGGTGGCTCTCATCCAGGGAGGTCCATCCTGGGCCTGGCTACATGGCCTCGGAGCCTGGCGGCAGTTTGAAGAGTCTGGCGGCAGACACGAGCTTGCTTATGTGTCTCTCCTCGGTGATGCCGGCCTCCTGAAGGCAAGTGTGGGACAGAGAAGGCACCTGGCCCAGGGTGCTGAACCCCGCTTCGGTGAGGGCACTGGCGTACATGGGCAGACCGATGGAGATCAGCCAATCTGACACGGACGAGATGCAGCCGGGAGAGAGGGGCTTCCTGCAGATCTCTGTGAGCCCACCACTTGGGATCTGGAAGAAGAGAGAGAACAATCTGAGGACGCCTCCACACAGGCCATCAGAGGGCCGAAGCTTGGATGCCCAGAAAAGGCCGCTGCCAACACAGTCACCGCCATGCTACCAGGACACGAAGATGCTGGGACATGTCAAAGACCAGGAGTAGCAGAAAGAGCCCTTCCTTAACTTTTCAAAGGCGAGAAAAATTTTCAAGGAGGTGTGTGAGGCTCTGGAAGGTGCTCAGAATAAAATATAGCCCCAGTCATGTGTCCAACTCTCCAAACTGTGAGCATCTATCTATATCTCTGGCTGTGGTGTCTCACGGTGACACACTCTTCAAGGAAGCATCTCTTATAGTCAGTCGCCACACACCTAAGGTGACTGAGTAAAGAGGCAGTCCCGAGAGACAGTGTGGAGAGGAAAATACTCAGTGATCGAGCGTTTATAAAGCAGATTCTCTTGAATCCATATTAACAACTAGCAGATTAAACATTTTATCAATATAGTTGCAAAGAATCTAAAACAGTAACAAGTACTGGCTAGGGCAGGGAAGTAAACCCTTATACTGGATGCCTGGGAAGACCAAATGCTGTACCTTTCAAGAAGTAACTGACCATCTCACCTGCAGACCCCTGGGGTCTTGTGCAGCCTTGACGACGTACACCCTCTTAAAGTAACATGCCCTCTGAGACGAGCCTCAGATGCCTAGGAAGGCTTATTGAAAATTAAAAACTTGGAAAAAACCTAAATGTTTCATCAACATGGACTGGCTAAACCCGGACACACTCTGAAACACTGATACTATAATGGAAGTTTAGTGAGAGAACCAGATTTGTGCTCAGACCATGGAAAACAACCAGGTTTCAAAGCCGTGCGTTTACTACTGTGTACGTGCAGGCAAATGACCGGATGGGCTTTCTGCTTTTTCATAGTGCTGGGAGTGTGGGTGGTTTCACTTTTTCTCTCTCTAAATGGTGTTTATGTAAAACTCTGGGGGCTGACTGTGGACTGACTCCCCAACCGGGGGTCTCCTTTGACAGTGGCGGCCCGTCTGCTCCTCACGAAGCTCTATGATGAAATGGGCTAGAACTTCGGGGCGGGGCTGCTCACCGCCATGCGGTGCTGCTTACGAAGCAGCTTCACGCGGATCTGGTCCATGTGGGCGGCGACGTCCCTCTCTGGCTGCTCCAGGTCTTCCGCGTATCTCTGCACCAGGGCCTCGGGAATCCCACAGCGGCCGTGCTGGGTGGGGGGGACAGAAAGGAGGTGTCAGGTGGTGTGGCAAGGACCTTTCTTTCTCCCAGAACAGCAAACACACGGTGGGAAGGATAAGACATTGAGCTACTAGGAAATTGCACCTCAAGTTTTCACTGCGAGGGAATACGTTTTCTCTGTAGTCAGGATGTTTTGGAGGGAATACTTTACATGTTTATGCTTTGGGTAGTAACGAACTCCAGGAAAATGTTTGGAAACTCAATCATCCCACATTTTGGGGGGTGAATGCCCTCAGCTCACTCGGCCTGATCGTTTGGCAAAATGTTTGTTTGAAGACCACTCCTGAACTGCAGAGGCGAGGGGCAAACTTCTTACTCTGCAGATGTCTACTGCCACGCCTCAGCTAGTAGGACTGTATCAGCCGGCCGGCATTGACCGTGGACTAGAATCCTCACTGCTTCTCATTCACAGGGGTTTATTCCCCAGATACTAAGGAGAAGGAGGATGTCACTGTTGGCATTCGTGGTCATAACACCTTTATAACGAAGACCTCCGGGACTGCATTAGAACAGAGCTTGCATTTCCAGGAGCCACGTACGGCTCTATCCATTCTCGTTTGTTTTCAGTGTCGTTGTGGGACTGGTTGATCTACTCTTTTTTTTTTAAATGAGAAATGAGTTTTCATTATAGAGCTCAATGTTTTTAGTACCATGGCATTTCCACATAATCTTTCCCCTGTTACCCATACAAGGTAATTATGTAATTATTATATCTGAATAGGGTTCTATAATTTTCAAGTATGTTCACATTTATTTTACTTGTTTCTAAAAATAGCTCTAAGAGGTAGGTATGTAGGTTATTATTAATTTCATTTTACATACAAGAAAATGAAATGTGGATTTGTTAGTGTCTAAAAATCACACATGTTGAGTTAAGGGAGGAAAACTGAACCTCAGATTTGTCTTCTCCTCTAAACCAAGCCTTTCAGGAACCAGTCCTGGTACTGATGGGCAGTTCTCCCTGCAATGTATAGCTGCCAACAATTAAAAACAGGCAAAATGAAAAAGAAAGAGAAAGGAAAGCAGCTCCAAAGCTGTATTTGCACTGAACCTGGACACTGTGCTCCCACTGGTGCCACCACCAGGTGGCAGAGGCCCCTGCTGTGGACCCCCTGAGCTCTCACTGCCACAGTGGCCCCCACCTCCAAGCTGACCTCCTGGGTTAGCTGAGGTTCCTCTCGCCTGGCTGCTGAGCTCATGAAAGCACAGGCCTGTGAAGTGGGGCCAGGGCCTTTGATACCTTGTCAGAATACGGTTCCTCGGTGAGATCGATGCCTTCAGCTCGCAACTTGTCCTCAGTGAGCATCTCCAGATCCACCCCCCGGGCGCAGGAGATCTTCCTGCTCAGGGCCGGGCCCAGCTTCACGCCATGCTCCTGGAGGCTCGCGCTCTCGGGCAGCTCTGAGAGCCAGGGTGGCGGCCTCGAGCTCGGAGGGCTGCTGGGCTCCTGCCTGGAGGGAGGTCTAGGAGCCTGGGGTGAGTGGCAGTCGCTGGGGCCGCTGGAGCCGCCCTTTTTCAGGGGCAGGCACGGTGCACTGGGGGCCGGGGGGCCGGGGTGCAGGCCGTTGGCCAGGGCCAGGCGCTCTCTGCTCTTCTTGGCAGGAACAGGCGGAGGCTGTGCAGGGTGTCTGGTGGGCGTTTTGGCCTCAGGGCCCCTCTGCTCACCTTCTTTGGTGCCCGGGGGGTGACAGTTTCCTTCAAAGTCGAGTCCTTTTCGGTGGCCCTCAGGAGCAGTCCTTGTTAAACTGTGTCTGACTCCGGGAGGCTGAGCATCACGGGTTTTGGGTAAACACGGGGGAGGGGACAGGCTACGCGAAGGGGCTGCCCTCGAGCCGCCCGGTTTCTTAGTAGTCGTTTTCTGAGGGTCAGAAAACCTGTTGCTTTGGGTCAGTAGCAATGCATTGTCAACGGCAGAATCTCCTTTGGGGCTGGGGACCTTGGCGATGGAGGGGGCTGGCTTTTGGGGCACTTCTGGCGCAGTCTGAGGGGAGGGTTCCGTCGCTGCACTAGGCACATCTGTTCCAGCATCAGGCTCTCCCTGAAGGTCGTCCAGGGAATGGGATCGGGGCCAGGCCTTCGCCGGCTGGGGGCCCTCCAGGGTCTCGCAGCTCCGGCAGATGGAGACGGGGAGGCTTCTCCGGTTTCTATTGAAGCCCGTCACGCAGGGCGGATCGCGGTGCTCGAAAGCGTGAGGGGTCAGACCACGGCCCAGCCTGCTTTCCTCCCCTGGCTTCCGTGTGTCCGCCGACTTCGGCAGAGGCAAGGTCGGGTAGGTGCCCAGCTGACTCCTGCTGAAAGACTTCAAGCTAGACTCGGTGGAGGACTTGGCAGAGAGGAGGCCAGTTTTCCGGGTTTTGCCTGCGAGACAAGGGAATACTTTACAATCACCGCTTGAAAGGAGAATCAAACTGATGTGGAAAGGTGTGCTAACTCTTACAGCCCATTGCTGAACTGCATACACCAAAGGACAGAAAATCACTGTTCATGACATCAAGTGACAATAGGGTTATTATGGTCTTGTTTTTATTCTTAGAAAAAATTCTAAAGCCTTCATAAATGGGTGCATGGAGGCTGGATTAACTGAGTTACGTGGTAAGGAAGTACAGTGTGTCAGGCAGTAAAGTAAGTCTAGGCCTCTTGTCTGTCCCAGCTGCTGTCAGTGTGGAAGAGGGCTGATCACCTGAACCCCACCCAGAAACCACACAGATGGGATTTCTGAATAGTTTCCTGAGGTCATGGTCACAGAGGGGAGTCGGACTGAGTTCTGGGACAGGTTCTATAAATGGTGCCCCCTAGGACTGATTCACTACTAACTTCTCAAATTACACCTTCCTCTAAGCCCGCCCCTCTTAGTGTTCTGTGTATAAAAGAAATGAATCCTAGAAATGAATCCTAAAAGTAAGTGAACAAGCTTAAGTGAGTATTTTGCCTGAGGCAACCTGTAAACTATTGACAAGGTTCTAATTCCCCATGAAACGTCAGCCCCGATTAAAACAAACTGTCAGACTAATAAGTGAACCATCAACCGGACATAATTTGCTTATGTGACAACTGTTGATTGGTATCGACCATACCACGGATTGATAAGCTTCACTGAGAATTCAATATCCTTCCCCACCCCTGCCAAAAGCTCCCTCATATATTCTATTCAATTTTGTCTTACAAAACTGTGGTTTATGAGCCTCTAACATGGTTCCCAACCCACTGATGAATTGTAAGCAGCAGTTTAAAAAGCTTTGCTTTAGTCCAGGGGCATCAAACTTATTCTTACCGGGGGTCCCATCAGCCTCGTGGTTGCCTTCAGAGGATCAAAATAATTTTAGGACTGTGTAAATGTAACTACTCTATAACTGTTAAGGAGCTGAAATTACATTTGGCCCTTTGAAGGCAACCTGGAGGCTGATGGGGCCCCTGGTGAAAAATGAGTTTGACACCCCTGCTTTAATTTAATAACTGCTCAATAAAAATACCAACCCATGGGCTACACAATGGGATTCAGATGGCAGCTAGAAAGTGGCTGCCCTGACCATTTCTCATGAAGGTCTTCCAGTAACTGAGGGGAACCCTTTATTGCTGCTTCTGGTCTTACTATAAGTAGAAGCTTGGGGGAGCCACCCATGGTGGTACTGAGGTCACCGGGGCCCATTCCACTGACAATTTCTCTGAAATTTCCCACCAACTGCCCCCCAATTGTTGGACAGGAAAGCAACAGATGTGTGGCCCTCAAATCACCCTCCTCCCCGGTAACTGCTGTGCCCCCAGCAGCCGCTGAGACACTGAAGATGCCACTGCTTTGTGACCCTGATGGGTGGGCAATCTGGTAAATGGTTTTCCTTATGGACCTGATACTTCCCAACACTCAAGTGTTGGTTTTTATTGCGTAAAGAAAAGGACACAGAAGACACACAATTTGGGTTTTACGGCTGCCCGTGTTTTGGAGGGGATTTGTCCACCTCGCACAGCAGCCAGGAGGAACGGATATCAGAAGCTAACTATGAACCAGAACAACAGAGAGGTCAGAAAGGAGAAGATTAGTCCTGAGTCCATCATGGTAACAGAGTAACTCTTTTTCAGGAAACAGGACTTGGGCAGCCAGTCATTTTCAAATGAAGCTTCATTTATATTGTGAAATAGATCAAAGCTGCAGGGTGGCCCTAGGCAAAAGCCCAGGCACAGCCCCACCCGCTCTGTGGCCACCATCCCTCCCACCATCCCCTGCTCCACCCCCGTGGTCCCTGAGGAATGCAGGACCCTGCCACGGGTCACAGTTAAAAGCCAGAAGTTATGAACTGCATAAAACACACTGGCTCCTTTAAACACACCTTCGTTTACTTTCCCTTCTATGAAAATGCCTTGCTAGTGAGAACTAGAATAGACTGTGCAGCCTGATTTAATATCTGAATAAACAACAGGCAGGGCCAGAGTGGGCGAGGTCCCATGTCTTCAACTATTAAGTGGACAAATCCAAAAAGATGAAAAGCCACATCTATTCTGAGAACATCTTGCTTTTCCAGTGCTTTTGTCTGAACTATACACTGCCGGCAATTTCAGGCCTTTGTCATGTACCTTGCACTGCCTTCCAAATGAAATCTATGGCTGGTCCTGCTGTCCCCAAACATCTGTCATGCGCATGCAACTGTGGAGGACGTATTCTACCCGCCACCGGGTCACACAGGCCACCGTTTGCCGTGGGTGTGGGAGGGGCAGAGTGCTCCCACTAGGGGCACAGACACAGGTTCTCCAGTCACTCCCAGTGGCCAGACCGTGGGTGGGGCTGGCCCAGCCATGCGCACGTGGGGAGCGTGGGGACCGTCACTGAGCTGCAGCCAGGCTTTCCGAGGGAGAAGGAAGTGCCCTATTAGATGGGGGCAGTTGTGCTCTGTGTAGCTGGTTGTAACTCTTGAGATTTTTTTAAAAAACAAAATATAGTATTTTAAGATGTAACCATAGACCCTTTATTTTCAGAGATCTAGCTTGCACCAAAAAAATGAAGTGATGAATGTTTGAATAAAGTCTTTTCACTTTCTCTTCCTATCAATTAGGTATGTTCAGACTGTAGCCTCTGATGGACCACTGCCAGAACCTCTCTCCGCGGAAGGAGTCGCCCCATAACTGTGGGCCCCAAGCTAACGAGCCTGTCTGCCTCACTGGCCAGGCCCAAACACAGAGGGCCACCCCAGCTCAGGCTTCCTGTGTGTGGAAGAAGAAAAACTGAGCTGGGGGATGATGAGCTGGCGCCCACGAAACCAACCCTGCGTGCCCCGGCGTGCTTATCAAGCACTCAGAGGGGCTCCTGCAAACCCTCATTCGGCAAAGACGCATGCAAAGAGGTCCCCTGTGGTATGTGCTGCCTTTGTTCTTGTTTAAAAACAGGTGCACTTATTTTAATCAAGCCATGGTTCTTGCAAGTACTTATTGCAGTAACAAATACAAACTACATCCCTTCTGGCTTCAAGTTCGGTGAAGCCCAGGCACCTCTGGTTGATATCGGATGCCACCGAGTGGAGTGAGGACCTGAAATGCACGTGGTGTCGGACAGTGAGGTCTAAAGTACTGGCCGGGAGCCTCTCAGGAGCTGGGGGGGTGGGGGTAGGCATTGGCAGCTGAGGGGCGTGGTCTGAAGACAGAGCAACGGCTGCAGTCACTATACAGTCTGTCTGTCTGCTCCCAAGTCTGTGAGATGTGCCTTGCAGGGTCTGAGTGATAGTCAGTAACACATACATAAGCTCCCAGTGCACTGCCCAGTTCCACAGTCAGTGTTCAGTAAATGCTGAGTATTGTCAATATCTTACTGCTCTGTTTAAGTCTTATAACTATCCATGAAAGGGAAACTTATCTTACTATTTCAGAAGTAGTAAGGGAGCTCAGAGACATGAAGTCACCTGACCAAAGTCTTCAGCTCACAGATGTTCTATTCAAGGCCCAAGCCCCTGGTCCCCTCACTTTAAACTCCATGGCTCTTTTCATGACCTACACTGGGTGTGGAGACTCTAAGGGTCTCTGGACAGTGGCAGGCTAAGGGTCCCTTTCCCTGACACTCTGACTCACAGGGTTAGTCTTGAACACTCACTCCCTAAGAGGGACAGAAAGGTAAGGGATGAGAACACTGCTGCGGTCATTTCTCAGGAACATCAGTTGCCTAGATTCTTGAGGGGCATTCACTCTTCCTAAGGATCTTAATTAAGCACCAATAATCTTGGAAAAATTCCTCCTTCTATTGCCAGGACTTCGCAAAAGCTCGGGTGGAGGAAGGGAGACAGCCACCAGCCAAAGCACAGATGTTAGAAAGTGACCCAGAAGTTCGCAATAAAGATGCGCGCCACGTTGTCTGTGCGGATGTTACCGTTTTCCAGGTTCTCACTGCTCTCGTAGCATCCCGAGTCTCGGGGGGAGCATCCGCTCAGGCCCTGGCTGTCCACGAGCAGCCTCTCCTGGGACCCTGACTGGTCGCTGTTGCCTGCAGGAGGGGAACACGAAGCATGAGATCACAGAGGGAATGAAAAGCGGAGGTTTCCAGGTCAACCAGAGCCTGGCTTTACCCTCAGTGACTGACGCGCACATGGTGCTTGTTTTAGGCTTAGGCTCCTGGGAGAATGAGGTAAAAAAAAGAGTAACATCCAAACATTTTTCTTTTCTTTTCGAGTATCACATGAAAATAAATTTGGAGATTGAGAGTACATACTTGGAGTATGTTGATACCTGGAAGTTACTCAGATGGTCACTTTGGCCTTGGGCCCAGTCACTAAGACAAGAATTCTGAGCATCGTGTCCACAGTGGGGGTGGGGGGCAGCAATCGGAGGGCCGGTGCCATGGCGAAGCGGCGCAGATGTTAAGCGTGAGCATGTCCCCTTCACGAGGCAATGTTAGATCCTCTGCCTTTTGGAAATCCCTAAGATGCGTGTCTTAAACTATTTGTCTCATGCTTTCCAAACTGAGAAGCTAATATAAATGAGTCAAATGAAATGCCAAATTTTATTCTAATTTTCAAGCAATCTGTGGCCTCGGTGACACAAGGGGACATAAGCCCTGTGCCAACAAGAGCCCAGGGGTGAGTGCCCGTGACGGCTGCACCCAGTGAGCAGGCTTTCCTTCTCTGCATTGGGTCAGCGTTTCCGTTCAGAGGGCCAGGCTCCGGGCACGCTCTACCCGGGGTGCCCAGTAACGACTGTCCCTGGGGTGGACAGCTACATTAGAAGGAGGCCTTTTAAAGAGGCGCAGATGCTCCTGTGGCGTGAGCGTCTGCCTGGTGCGAGTCACGCGGGGAGTCCCAGGGGCCTTCTCCAGACAGCAGTGTGGAGCATCGCACAACAAGGGCATGTGTGGCCTGACCTGGGACTGCGGTTCCGGGAAGAACCTCTTTGTATTACTGAGCAGAGCGTGTGCGTGGTCACGTTACACAGAAACTAAGAAAATATCTTCTACATAAAACAACCATGTTGCACGAGGAATGACTTTCCTTTTGTCTTCCCTGCCCTACCACACACACAAAGAAGGAAGAAATCAACAGACCAGAAATCTGATGCCTTTTCTCAGGTCATTAAAAAAATAAAATAAACTGTGGGAGCGCAGAGGGACTGCCATTCCACCCCCGGGCCGGCTGTTTCGGCGGCCCGCCCGCCACTTCCTGTTTGCATCCGACATGTGGAAAGCATATTATAACACAAATCGTGGCAGAAACCGTGGCAGAGCAGGCCCTTAAATTAGACCCCCAAGTTGGGAAGCGCTCCTTTTAAAATGATTAATGAAAAAGGAACTAGTTGGAAGCACAAGAGCAAATCCTACCCTGTCCCTTGCACAGGAAGTGGAACATTCTAGGGTGATGTCCTCATTGTGTGGAAGGGTCTGCGGATTTGGAGTGGCCTTTGTCCCAGCCTAGCATGTTATTTAGGGAGTAGCATTACTTCTAAACTGAGGGCTTGGAAGCATCATTTACAGCCCGGGAAGGGGAATTAACGTAGTTTGTCCCGGTAAGACAGTTCAGTGTACTGCTTCAGCTACAGCAACTCCAAGGTGCTGATCAACAGGACTCGAACTGAAAACTTGCCCCTGCCACTGCACGAAGACACAGCCCATGTTTGCCTCTTTAGGGATGCCACTGTCACCAGACACAGCTCGGTACCTGCCCAGAGGGCAGGGGCCATTCACACTGCCTAGAGAATGGTTCAGTTTACAGAACCATGAGGCATACGTCAAGGGGTTACTGTCACTTTCTTTCAGTCGGCAGCTACTGAGCAGAAACCTACATCAGAGAGAACGAAGAGGCGGGGTGCCCCCTAGATGTGCAGCAGAGTCAAGGCCGTATCCTCTCCCTGTACTGACTATAATCAATGTCAAGGTACAAAGAGGAAAGGAGGTGAGCTAGAACCATGACACTTCTCACAGACAAACAAGAGCAGAGGACTGGGTTGTGGGGCTGAAACCCCACTGTGGTCGGACATGAGTCTCTCCCACAGGGAACCCAGCAGGCAGGCTGGCACTGCCCAGGCCTGGGCGCAATAGGGCAGTTGGTGGCTCTGCTTCCTGCTCTTTGGGGGGCTGAGCTGGACGAAGGTTCGCAAGATCTCCGAAATCTGTGTCGCTCTCTGAATCTGTCCCGTGTATGGACATTCAGTTGGACATACATCTACTGTGTTCCTCTGCGTTACCGGTCATGTAGAATACTGTTTAAACACAGAACTGAACTGGACATAAAATCTTAAAATCTGGACCCAGGGTCTTGTCACTGATCAGCACCCCCGAGCCCCGGAAGCCGCTGTTTTAGAGCCGATACAAGAAGTGCTGTTTTATGCGTTAGGAATGTTGTGGCGGCAGCACAGCCTACGTTTGAAATGAGATTTGGGAAGAAGCAAAGAGCACTCCTTGCACATCTGAGTGAGCATCGCTGCTGGGCAAAGATCCCCTCTTACAAAAAAAAATAAAAAAGATTCCCTCTTGCAAAATAAAATCTCTCCTGGTGCAAACCACAGTATGTGGTTCCAGGAAGGACAACGGGTCTGAGCCAATAAGATTACAACAGAGGCTCAGCCCAGAGCCTGTGTTACATTCAAGTTTTTAGCATTGCTCCTCTTAGGTTCTGAATGGTGAAGGACAAAATGGGTAGGGCTCATAAACCAGCTGTTCTCCGAATCTGAGGAAGAGCAAACGAGCTATTTTATGGAGCAGATGTGGTCCAGAAGACCAGATGATTTAACTTTAATTGCTGTTAATAAAGCTGGTTGGCCACGCCAGGCCCTGGGCCAGGCTCTTTAACTCAGAGCCGGGCCACAGACCCCCAAGACACAACGCGAACACTAAGGACACCTGGTCATAAACCACCACGTGCTGCAGAACGCAACTCCCTGCAGATCTGTCAGCGAAGGCAGTGCGTTTACCTAAGGTTCAGACATGTCTATGATGGCGCCTGGTCCCCCCATGTTCTCAGTTAATTTAGGGGGAGGGCCTTCTGAGCAGAAGTAAGTGTCCCTGGGCTGAGAGAGACACTTGCTTCCCTATCTCCTGGGTCCGATACCTTCAGTCACGTATAATTTTTTTCCACCATTAACCACAGTTTCGGTGTGTCTTACCAATAGAAATGCTATTAGCCACTGATATCCCTGAAGCAGAGCACGTGAAATAAAAGGCATTGGAATTCAGTAACTGGAAATGATGCTTCCTTTGTGATGAGTAATTTCAGGGGTATTTCTCATGTCAGACTGAAGAGTAAAGAGCAAGATAAGACTAAGTTAATGGAGCACAGGATGCCATGTATTCAAATACACTTCATAAAAGCCGTGAGCCCACTGAATTCCATTCACGGGCTGTAAAAATGAGCTATCATTTCAGCCTCTGCGACCGAATTCTCTGCTCTGCGCATTCACAGCAGCCTTTTCCTGCTTTTTTAATGGAAGCTGAAGAATTTCACTTATTCACGAGCTCATCTATTCAGTGAGAAAAGAACTCGTGTGTTTGAGACGTGATTAACCCTCGGCTGCGCAACACACCTCCAGTTGGTCAGGCCGGTTCCTGCCCAGGAACCCTAAGGACCTGCACAGCCCGAGAGTTCGCAGCACGACGTCTACTGTGTTTCTTCAGGAAACTGTAATTCCCTTCTCAGCCACTTGCAGCAGCATTTCCCTCAACTACTACCGGGACCTAGACACACGCCAGAAACGACATCGGCAGTAAGGTCTCCCCTTGCTCCCACTTTGCCAGGAAGGCCTGCCCTGGGAATAGTGTGTCTCTGTGCTATGATGACATCACACAAAATCGACCTCGACTGTGGAGAGAGCAGGGCCAAACAGGTGACTCCGGGGACCGGAGCACGTGCTGGCTGCTCAGAGGAGGACTGCTGGTGACCCGGCCAACGTGGAGCGCTGGCATGAACACCCCTGCGTGGGGGGGGGGGGGACCACTTACTGTCATACTCTTGTAACAGCTCCACCGCGGTCAAGAGAACTGCTCTGTGTTCCGGGTCCCTGATATTTAACTCATCCAGGTCTTCCTCCTCCAGGAGCTTGAAGGTGTCCAGATCTTCATACCCGTTGAACAGGAAGGTGGGCATGTGCTCCTGTGAGGGGAAGAACACCAGGTGCATCAGCAGGCGCAGCCCATGACCCACAGCCAGCTTCGAACCCCTAAACTTTCCCCGTCATCCTTTCTGTGCTCATTGAAAGATAAGGAAGCATCGTTTGTAAGCATCTGCGCCTCCCGGTCGTGCGGCTCAGCAGGCAGATGGTTAACCACGGGTTAAGAAGACACACACTGAGAAGACGCGGGCTGAGACGGGCTCCCCTGGCTTGCGTTTTAATTGTGCCCTTGCTATGAGCTGCCGCCTTTGGTGCCACACGGTGTGCAGTGGGGGAGGTTCTTCTTTCCTTTCCAGGAAGGACTGCGACTTCCCGAGACACAGGAGGGTGTTGCAAGGGGGACACGACCTGCCACTGCAGCCCCCGCCCCTCAGTAGATGTCAGGAAGGGTGGTGGGAGGTGTGGGGGGGACCCTCACGGTCTCTGTGGAGACGAGGGTGCAGGGGGGCAGGGCTTGCTGCTTGCTGCCCTTCCTGGCAGGCGCTCGATGCTCAGAGCTCCTGGGAAGCTGTTTCTTCGGGTGCTAACAGCAAATCCTGACCTGGGGCTCAGCTAATGCCCGCAGCAGAGGTCAAAGGCAGCTCATCGTAATAATGGGCCGCCCGTGTTGGAAGACGTGGTACCCCCTCCCTGTCCCTGCAAGTGTCCCCTCCCGCTGGCTTAGTTTAGAAGGAGAAGCAATGCGTGACCACAACCGGACGGGACTGACTTTCAGGTTAATGCGATCGAGGAGATCCTCCACAGACTTGGGCTGGGGCGGTCTTCCTTTTCTCTTCCTCCTGGTGGGGCGCTTGGGCTTCTCCTCTTCCTCGTTTAACACGTCCACGTAGATGAATTTGAAGGTGCCCACCTTGTTGTTCAGCAGGCCCATCCAGGTGCCCATGGGTGGTTTGCTGATGATATCGATGATGTCTCCTTTCTGTGGCCCAGGGAACAAAGACTTTTCCATTAGACACATTTCCAAGCATGAATCACAACTGACGAGATGAATGAATCATGTGGATGTGAAAACACTAGGAAGGGCAGAATTGGGGTTCCACGAGTGACCTTACGAATGGGGGCTTGGGAGAAGGCCAGAGGGACCCTCCTGACTACGCTGGATTCCATGCAGACTAGAGTCTCATGCCCTCCACCCCCTGCCCCACAGGGTGAGGTGCCCCGCAGTGCACATGGCCAGGTGTGGGTGCCCGGCTCTCTGAACGCCTCGCCATCAGCCAGAGCTCCTAGGGCTTAGAGAAAGGATTTCCCCCGAATCAAATGCCGGCGGCAATCCCCACTCTGTAACCACTACATGCATGTTGTGGAATGCCATCTGTCCCATATAAATCCCACTGACCATAGAGAGAAAGTAGTCAGGTTTCTCCAGCAGAAGAAAGTACAGAAATTAGAGGCTAGAGGGCAACAGACATTCTACAGGGATGCTGAGGTCAGAGGTGAGGGCCAGGAGGACAAAGTGGTGAGGACAGAGGAATAGCACAAGTCCCACCGCTGTGCCAAATGCTGGCTGGTTCTGTTTTGTTTTTCACTGAGGAGAAGACCAGCTTATGAAGGCCGCCAAGACACCGGTCAGGAGCACCACAGCAGCCCAGCATTCAACAGCAAGAACAGAATGCCCTTGAAGAGCCCAGGTGTAAGGCCAGACAGAGACGCACCTTGAGCTTCAGCGAGTCTGTGTCATAGGGACTGGGTGTAAAGTCGGTGTGCACCCTGGCACGCCCACAGAAGGGGCCCCGGTAGGGGGGCTCCTCGTCATCCCCGTCTTCCGACTTGACGCTTTCCCTGTTGCTGGTCGAGGAATCAGTGGTGCTCACTGTCTGACCACCTGCACAGGAAACATGGGAAGAAGGATCAATATGGGTTTCCCTTAGGACACTAGAGGGCAGAGGCGTGAAACTGTGAGCCACGAGCAGGTCAGGACCAGAGCAGGACCCAGTTCAGAGTCTGGGAGGGTCTCAGTGTTCTGATTATTACCCCCAGTGAAGCTGCTAATTGGACAGGCGGGACTCCAGCAAAGTATCTTTACCATGCAGCAATGCGGGTGACATCACAAACCCTTCACGTTTACCACCCCTCGTGGGTCTGGCATACCGCTTTTACCCCCATTTAATGGATGAGGAAACAAACTCAGAGAGGTCAAGTAACTTGCCCAAGGCCAAGTGCTTTTAAAGTGGTGCATTGAACCATGGAATCTCCCCCCATACCATTCTGCAGACATCACCACTGGTCAGAGTGGCTTACCAGCACTTGTTATCAGTGACATTTATAATTGTCCTCTCTTCCCCCATCTCTCAATTTGTTGGTCATCTTCATAACAACCTTGAAGCCGTCTCCTCTGTTCTCTACATCCTTCCTCTGAGACATCCTTTCCCTGTCTTCTGCAACCAAAACTCACCACCCACCTTCTGTGCCACTGCAGGACATCTACTGAACAAACGCGACCCTAGGCCCAGGTATGTTGCAGGTCTAGCTCTCTAAGAGCATCTGCAGGACGAACACTTGGGGTTCCTTGTCTTTGAGTTGCCTGGACCCGACACCCAGTGAGTCTGACTTTGACCCCGAAGGAAAACATTGGCAATCAGAAAGCAGACATACTCATTGAGCTCTGTCCACTCAGAGAACTCCGCAGACTCTCTACGGAACCCCCGGCCTTGAGCTTGGGCTTGTCCACGTGTTCGCTGTCAGGCTGGGGGACAGGAGGGGAGCCCGGCACTCCATCAAGGCTCGTGTCCTGCAGTGGAGTGCAACAGAAGTGTGTTTCATCAGAGGGGACAACCACTGGTCTGTAATTCAAAGCAATTCAGCCCTCAAGTAAATCAAAGCTGGTGCCTCAGTCAACATTCTCCTCTGTTTAATCCATGTTCTCGCTCCGTTTTAAAGTTGTAGCCTGTATAACTACTAGTTAAACACTTAAAAATTATTTGGCATGCTCAAATAGATGTTTTTAAAATGTCTGAGAAAACCCTATGTACCACCTAGACAAAATACTTCGTTAAAGGCTGAGAGACTGCTGGCAAACTCAACAATCCAGTAATGAGGCTGGACTCCAAGTGCCCATCAGGCAGAATCCACTAGTAAGAGAATATTTAATCTATTTGAAGGGAAATATTTACACTAAAAACAATGCCTATTCCTTGCCTAAAAAGAAAAGACCAGATTCTTATGCTTCTAGTGACACAAATGATTGAAAGTGGCTAATGAAATACCAACTCAGGACCCAGATATGGAGCCAAAACACCGTCTTTCAGTCTATGAAGAAGTTCCCACAGGTCCGAGTTGCTATGAGTTGTCCCCAGGCTTTATCTACCAGTTCTTTCTCGTGCTGTTAGGAAACAGCTGCGATGCCCCTTTCAGGTCACTTTTGGGGTGGCTGTGCGGTCTGCGTGGCGGCCCCTCATTTGCACATGGAAGCACAGCAGGCTCACTTGATGAGCAGTGAAAACAACATCTTCCTTCCAAAGTCGGCAGTGAGAACGGTTTACTGGCCAAAACTGAAACCTCTCTGGCATATTCACAGCCCTGCGAGCACCAAGCCATCCAAACGAAACCTGTTATTTGCATGGTGCCGACTCATCAGAAGGACTTTAACGGGAGTCTGCAGGGTCCACGAACATCTGAGGACAACAACTGCGGCCACTTCGGATCCAGCACGCACTGTGCTGTACATTTAAGGAAAGTGAGCAGATGACCTCGAAAACAAGACTTTCAACAGAGGTGCTGTGATTTGGAAGTTACTGATGCTACAAAGTACCAATCCTTGACTACAGTTTCATTTCTAAATCATAAAATAAAACATCTACTCAATGAAGTTCTTTTTTTGATGCTTCTGCTAAAAGCATGTGTGCTTTTATTTTTAAAATAGTGACACTAAATACACATCTCCGATACTGTATATTCTTAAATGCTTTTAAAGGTTATTAATTTACTCGTCCCATATGTATGGATTATCTACAACAACAGGTACTATTGCAAGTAACAGATACATAACAAGAACGGAGTAGATAAAAATCCTTACCAGATCGGTTGGTTGGTATATTTACTAAAAAGTTTAAAAAAATGAACAAAGCTGGCAACATTAATCTCCTCTCCCCAAAAAGCATTATAATGTTCACTTATTCCTTCTCCCTCTTCTCACTCATGTGACATGACTGCTTTTAAAAAACAGAGAACTAAGAATACAAGGCAGGCATAGAGTAGTAAAATTATAGAAAAATGCTCAAATGACACGAAAGTTCCATGCTTATGATCCATAAAGCAGAAAACCCCTGTGGGTGTTACATTTACATGAGCTTTTAGGGGAAAAGCCAACTAAATGAAGTGCTTTCAAATGAGAGGTGCTGCTTCCATTGGCATAACACTGGCTTCCTAGGGGGGTGCAGTTTGCTTTGCTTCTCTGGTCAGAAACATAGATCAGCATCACGCCCACACCCACAGGGCCCAGAAATGCAAAGAATACCAAAAAACTGTCATAGGGAAGCACACTGGAGGTGGCCCTGACGTCCCCTGTAGGTCTAGTAAGCCGGGGCTTCTCCACCTGAGCACTATCAGCATTTTGGATTCTACGTCAAGGGGGCACCCTCCTGTGCATTATAACATGCCTCCCTGGTCTCTGTCCACTAGATGGCAGTAACACCCACCCCCACCCAAGCTGCGTGCCATTGTCCAAACGTCCAAAGGTGGGTGGGACAGCAAAATCACCCTGTGAGAACCGCTGCAGCAAACTGAAGATGGTGTGCAGGCTTTGTCTGAATCATTGTGGATGGCCAAGCTGGCTAGTTCATGTTCACAGTGATCCAAACAAGGCAAAGCTTGGGTTTTAGCTTCCTATGCCCACCAGAGGGCAGCAGCAGAGCCACAATGTCTGCTGTCCCTGGCTTTATCTAGTAGATAAAGCAGCATCACCTACATGGTCCAAGTGGACAACCAGCACACAGAAGTACTTCAACAGACTACACGAAATGAACTATAGAGGAGGGTGCTTTGAAAATCTAATGGTCAGAATCAGCGAAGGCTCAGCTCTCCACATGTCTTTATTCCCCCCACCCATACAATTAAGACAGAAACTGTTTGTTCTAGTGATGCAATAATCCAGAATTGGAGAGGATCAATTCTGCGACACCTTAATGGCTGCAGAGAGAGCTGGTGAGCGAAAGCATCCCCATGGAAACAGGATCACCATCGAAGTCCTGCAGCTAGGAAGCATGTTCTGAGTTTGCTGCTCAGATGGCTGCATATTTCCAGAACGCCCTGTGCGGCACTGGAGAAGTCTGCTGCCTATGGAAACTCGACTGTCCTCTTTTTAGATTTGATTCTGCTGACATCCACTTTAGGAAGGGGTATTTTAGAAAATAAAATCCTCCCTTTGTGCATAAATTTTAGTGCTTATTGCATTAAAGAAGTATCATTTTCCGCATCATACCATTTTTTCATTCCTTCCATCTCTATGTAGTAGGAAGTTAAGGCCTGTGTTTTGCACTGCCAGCACCAAGCACGGTGCCAGAATGACCCTCAGTGCTTAGTAAGTGCTTGTGGTACCAAATGTCCAACTGCGGACACTGAGCGCGGTCCCAGGACCAGGCGAACGCCAGTGAATGTCTGTGCCTAGTGCCGTTTACCACCTGAGACCGCCCGCTCCAGCTTCCCTGCTGCCGGGAGGAACCACGTGGCTTCCTGGCCAACAGCTGCGTACCTGCTCGGAAACAGAGCTGCTGTATTTTTTAGACATTCTCTTCCTCATTGTCTCTTTTACTGATTTGACCTTTTTTCCAAGAGAGATACGGGAGGCAGTAGGTGATTTGATGACTTCCTTGTACACAAAGTCTCCTTCTTTACCCTACAAAACAAAACAAATACCTTTAGTCACAGAAAATAAAGTCCCCAAACAGATTTTATTATCCAAAAAAATCTCTCAGAAAAATACTGGCATCCCCCAGGACTCTGGAATTTTTCCTATGTTAAATCAGGGCTATTATTATTCATCATTCGACTTTTCTTTTGTTTTTTCAACTTTTCAAAAAATTTTTCAATTATAGTTGACATTCAACATTATTTTATATTCATTTAAGATATATGCTGTTTACCTTTTTTATTAAAAATTGAAAGCTACTCACTTAGGGGCTTTTGTTTGTGGGATGTGAGATACTTTGTATTTTATTTAACCTTAGTATATTCTTCTCCTACTATACTTTTTTCCATCATTTTAACTACCCAAGGGGACTGCATTTCATCAATAAAGAATGATTTAGCTGAACCCACATTCACATAAGCCCAGAGGTGGGGGAGAAGGACAACACTATGAATCGCCCAGGAAAGGGGTGAGAACACGGTGGGAAAAGTGCAGTCACTACGAATCAGCATCTGATCGGATCTGCATCCGTGTGGTCGACTTCTGAGAGCGAGGGCAAAAAACTCGTATTTTATTTCATTGTTTAAAAGACTGGCCACATAAAATTACTGGTTTACAAATCAACAAAACTAGATATCTAAATGAAATAGTGCTATTCTTTCAGGAAATTCTCAATCACTTCACAAGTCGCAGACGGTTGTTTTAGCCGACACCTGATAGAAAGTAGTTTGCCGACAAAACGCATTAGGGGAAAACAAAATCATACATCAGATTCACCTGCACCTGGGGCCTAAGCAGGTAAACACAGGGAGCAAAGCCTGTGCAGACCAGTTCCCAGACTGGGGTCCGGAAGCAGCAGGTAGTAACCTGGTAACCAGTAACCTCGGCCCTCAGGACTCTGACTTGCTTTGTCCCCAAGGAGACTGGGTTCATTTCAGAACAACCCAGATCAGAAAGAACTAGGCTTAGTATGGGGCGATGCACTTGGTCTATGATAAAATTGGGATTTAGAGATTCTGGCAAATACTCTTGAACCCAAATCACAGGGCTCCATCCCACTGCCTGGCTTGCGTGTTGCAGTTGTGCCCACTGAAAACCAGTGTGCGCCTGTAGAGGTGGAATACGGATGTCTGCATGTGTGACTTGGAGAAAAGAAACATGGGCACAGAAGGGATGGTGGTACTGGAAGGAGAGAGATGGGGGCCAGGGGTGGTCTGACAGTCCCGCGGGGGAGAGGGGTCTCTGGGGGAGGCGGCTGGGTGCAAAGTAGAGGAGTTAAGCAAAGGAAAGCCTCACGGACCCAGACAACAGCGTGGTGATTACCAAAGGGAAAAAGGGGCAGGAAGGAGGTGGAGGAGGGTAAACGGGGGTTCGATGGTGATGGATGAAGACTTGACTTGGGGTGGTAAAGAAGCAATACAATATACAGATGAGCCCTGGCTGGTGTGGCTCAGTGGACTGAGCTCAGGCCTGTGAACCAAGGGTCACCGTTGCCAGTTCAATTCCCAATCAGGGCACATGCCTGGGTTGGGGGCTGGGACCCCAGTTGGGAGTGTGCAAGAGGCAATCACACACTGATGTTTCTCTCCCACTCTTCCTCCCTCCCTCCCTGTCTCCCTAAAAATAAATAAAACTCTTTATAAACACACACACACACACACACAAAGAGATAGAATTATATGCCTGAAATCTATATAATACTAGCTAATGTCACCCCCAATAAATTCAATAAAAATTTTTTTAATGTGTGACATAGGTCTTCTTTTCGAATGACTTAGGATCACCAAGGAAAAGGTTACCAGTATCGATTTCAAAGATGTTCCATGTGAAACCATGCCAACCACATCGCCCGAATCCGAACCTTCTGCTTTTCCGCTGATGTCTACTCACCATTGGGTCAGAATTATTACCGCCAACGTGCAGGGAACGATTTGTCAGGTCAAACCCTCCAAAACTGCAGGTTCTCTGTGGAAGGGAGAGGGTGGGACCGTTATGCTCAAGTCAGCCAGCCTTGCGTCTGCCCAGCACATTCCCCACCTGCAGGACGCCACTGGACCACAGATGTGATACGGGATGAAGTCGGACGAGAAATGATGAGGAAAAAAATACATGATTCATGTCACAAGGAAACTTCCCCCAGTTTACCCTTGCACAGGCCGCTGGGACGGTGCCTTACACCAGCGGTCCAAAATCCCCTGGTCACACAAAAACTGACTGGTTAAAAAACAAAAACATGACGGAAAAACCATCCACAGGGTAACTGCTCCAAGTTTCCGTCGCCTAGCAACAGACTTCCCCTCCCAGCCCCCTGGATCATCAGCTGTGCGCAGTCATGGTAAGGAGGAAAGCTGTGCGCTCAGAAGGGTCTGGGAAACCCAGGTCTGAAATCCTCTGGCTCTGCCACCATTCGATGGCAGGCCTTACTAACAGACTCTTTTGTTTAGTTTTAAATCACTAAAAGGGAGAAAACAGGTTATGTTTATAGTAGCCAAATCAGGCCAAAAGGATTACTCACTCATTGCTTTCCCGACCTAGCCAAAAACGCTGGTAAGTTTCCCCTCTAACTGTCCGACTTCATTAAGCGCGACCTTTTTCTCTGTGCATGAAGTGGAGATACCACATTAGCTCAGAAAGAAAAAAGTTGATTCCGTGACTATCTTTGACTGCACTTCTTAATTCCAATAGGAAAAACACAGATGTTATGAAAAATGAAAACTTTCATGCTCTTTCCACTGGTTTCAAATTTTGTGAAACTGCATGTATTTCAGTGATTTTTATATTTTGAAAGCTTGGTTTGCATTCCCTTTCTTTTTTTTTTTTTTTTTAGCAAAAGCTACTCAAGGACCATCTCCCTGACTCTCCCTGCACCAAAAAATCTGTAAAAAAAAAAAAAAAAAGAGAGAGAGCGAGAGGAAAAAAAGCACACTAATTCTTGTTACAACTGATTATCTTTTAAGATGCTGGTAATAAAAGTTGAACAGCAGAATTAGGTTCCATAATTTGCAGAATGTTTCTCACAGAACTCTTGTTACCAGCTATTAAATATAAGAAATAAACATAAAGCACAATGTATACTATAAACACTATTGAAAATAAATGTAGTTTAGATGCAAATTAAATGATCTGAAAAAACACCCAGAAGGAAAAACGCCTAGGTTTTTGAAATCGCACAGATGGGGATCCACATCCTGGTTCTCCACTTGACTTGCTGTGTGACCACAGGTAAAACACTTAAACTCTCTGAGCTTTGTTTCCTTCGACTGTAAAATACTACCTATATCATATATTTGAAGACTTCTAGCATACTACTTGGTACAAGGCAGACACTCTTCTGAATGTTACTTTCTTCCATTACTTCTCATTTGGGCTACACTGAGAACAGTAGCTTGTCCCAACAATTCCTGTATTGAAGTTTAGGCTTAGACGACATTTTAAATATGCAAAGGAAGGACTAGAGCTTAGTTCTGGGAGCTTCGACTGTAAAACCAGAGCATCCCAGGAATGGGACGAGAGGGAGAGCGAGGTGTGGCAGAAGGGAGGGCCAGGAGATGCAGGATGTTCCAAGAGGCGTTCAGGATGCCACACAACGGTCACTGCTGTTTTAAATAACCTACCACAGACAGGATGCCCAGTGAACACTGTTCTAATTTTATATTAAATACTAAAGGACAGCCCTGGCTGGTGTCGCTCAGTGGATTGAGGGTGGGCTGCGAACCAGAGGGTCGCCAGTTTGACTCCCAATCAGGGCACGTACCTGGGTTGCGGGCCAGGACCTCAGTGGGGGCCACGTGAGAAGCAACCACACACTGATGTTTCTCTCCCATTCTTTCTCCCTCCCTTCCCCTCTCTCTAAAATAAATAATAAAATACTTTAAAAACACCAATGGACAATCTGATTTCCCTTATAATCAACTGGACTAGACCTGTATCTATTCTACGAAAACAGAAAGACCTCTTTATGCAAAAACACTCACCACATCCCCTGACCTGGAGAGCAATGCTATGAATACCTCTCCAGGGCAACTGCTAGCTCACAATGTCAAATAGACATTTCTCATTTTTGCAAAGGCAGTGGCTGTGTTCCAGCTCTTTTCCCGAGACTCCAGGCTTCACAGGCACAGTATGGCACCCAGATGCCGCCTCATTTTTATGGCTTTTGCACTTTCCTGCTTTAAATTCCAGCATTAACTGCAACACTGGAGCCCAGCACGTTGTTCCTGGGGCATATGAATAACTGACAAAGAATTTATGTGGAAAGTGTAACTGTAATAAATTAGAAGCTCATTCATATCTTCATATGCCTGCTGTATGCATAAAAGCTTAAAGACTGGACTGGTTTTATAACCACCACCTAAAACCTTTCCCAGCAATAGGCTAAGATATCTGGAAATGATTCTTCTTTATCACTGTAGGAGAACAAAGACTGTAGCAATAAGCACTGCTTGAACTAATCTCTCCCTTTTCACTGACATTGAGTAGTTCTCAAAGTACCACTTCTTCGACAGAGAAGAGAGACTTCAGAGAGAACAGTGAAAGAAAGTAAACCAGTCTTCGATGTTGGTGGTCTCCATCAATGAAGCCTCAGTGGGGTTTGTAGAATTCATACATCTCACGTGCAGGTGATTGTAAGAACATTTAAGATGCTCGTGGGTGAGGAGGTCCAGGCAGTGGGATGGTCATGCAGTTGAAAACATGTTTTGGGGGAGGTAGAGTTGAAGTTTAAAAATGGACAAAATTCTAAAATGTCATGCATGTCTGTTCCATCAAATGAAAACTGAATGACCAAATAAAAAGGGAGACAAGTGACCGTTTTCAGTGAATACAAAGCATTATCATTTCCCTGAGGCTTCATCAAGCAAACATGGCACTTTTTTGAAAGACAGAAAGATCAAGGTTGAAGACTAAAGAAAACTGTGCACTTTGGATAAATGAAGGAGATTCATAACCAAGAATAGGGAAAAAAAACTTCTGAAGTCAACCAAGCAAAAAAATTTTCTCAGTCTCTTAAAAATAAAAAAGTTTTTTCTCATTATTTTCCCTTTTACTAATTAGAAAGTTTTGTTTCCCTGATTGTACAACTGACTTATAATAACAGGTACGTGCAAACTTCTAATTTTGCCCAGAACACATATGTAAACAAGTGTGAGTACTGCCCAGCATGGCCTCAAGGTCACGGTGCCTTGGGAACATCCAGCCTCTGTGACACTTGGTACAGGGATGACATACGCCCCTTTTATGGGGGAGAAATAAAAGGCTCAGAGGCCCTTACTCAATGTCAAGGAAGAATCAGTCACTGTGTTTCAACGTTAATTGGCTCAAATCTTAGAAATGGACCTTCTGGACAGAAAGGTCCTGACCCAGTTGTGTCATTAACCTGAGGCGCACACAAACAGCTCCAAGGGGTCCACGTGACTCAGGATCACGGGACGTAAACTCACGGAGTGGAGTCATCAGTTAACAGAGAAGGGGCGACTCTGCTTTACCAAGGCCATGCCTGACGGCGGAGGCGCATCAACTGGGCGGAACGTTTCCAAAGGTAGAAAGTGAATCACACCAAGACTGGTTCACCACAAGTATTTTACGAAAGATTTGTGGTTCACAACTGAGTGAGTGAGAAAAAAGAATTCTGTTATTTTACAACAGAACCGAACCACCCGAAAGGGGTTGCCATGATGTTGAAAGAAGCAGAAGAGAAGTTGCTCCTACTAGTATTGAAAGTATTGTCAGACTGACAGGAATGTGAAAAGACAGACCAGCATTAGCCCAAAAGTCAGCCCGTGTGGGAATATGTGGAAAATGTAAGGGCCAAAGATAGATCCAAGGACCTATGAGAGCAGAAAAGGTCATCGTAAGGACGGCATTGGCCAATGAGTTTCTGCTTCCACGAAAGCAGAGCTTTACTGAATGAATTTAATTACAGAAATCATCTGGGGAAGAACATCTCACTGAAGAATGTGAACAAACCCTGGAGGAAGCCCCCGTGAGAGGCTGCAGTGTAGCCTCTTCCTTAGGCCTTTAAAAAAGGGGGGGGGTAGGGGGAGGCCATAGCCAGCAGCCCCGAAGGCACCTGGGGACAGTGGGGCCTGGAATTTGGATGGGAATTTCAGGGAATAAAACACCTATATTCTCAAGTTCAAAATAAGTTATGCCCTAAAACTAAATTTTACAAAGTTTAGTAATTCAGGAATGAAACTAAAAAACGTTTTATTATTTGAAAATAAACACTTTAGTCCTTACTATGTATAAAAAAACCAGAGAGCCATGCAGGACATTTTTCAATATTTGTTCCTTCAATTAAAAAGATTAAGAACATCCACTAGGCTTAAGTAAAAAGCTCTAATTTTTTGCCCTTTCCAGCTAAGAATTTTCCATTGGCTTCTACTGATAAAAGAAACACACTGGACGTTTCCAAATCGCCAAACTGATGCTTGTAATGATGGCAATCTTTCCATGAGCTAGCTCCTAATTGTTTTAATTAAGTAAAACAATAAGCATCTCTTTTAAGGGCAGAAAGTCCTCTGTTTTGAATCAGCTTCTTTGAGATCAAGTGACAGGATGGCTGGGAAAGAATACAGCCACTCCCAGAGGGAGGCCGGACCGGACCCCACCCCAGTACTCTGAAGGCCCTGCTCTGAATCAGATTCAATGTTTAGTTTTAATTAAAAAATCAAACAGCTTCAGCTGGAAAGAGGACAGTGGAGAAGGAGAAACCTTTCTGAAATGACAGCAAGGCTGGAACTTGGAGAGGATGGTGGGATGGACCCAGAAGTGAGGACGTTAGAAGCAGAAGAGAGGGGAGGGTACCGAGCTCCGAGAAACGAAGGCCATAGTGCTTGACTACACGTCACGGAAATGACAAGGCCACCCTGGTGACCCTCTCGGAGACTCACGGACTTCTGGTGGATTCTCAAGAGAACCCTCTTAGTACAGCGGTCGACCGTGGCGGCCCACTTCCTCTTGGCCTCCTCCTCCTCCAGCAAGCACCGCCTCAGGTCCTGCTTCTCCGCCTTGCTCAGGGTCCTGTCTGAGGCCGGACGCACTAGCTGGGTCAGGTTCAGGTGGCTGTACAGGCTCCGCTCCACCACGTAGGTGATATTGAACTCGCTGACCGAGGGGCGCCCGCGCACCCTCCTGCTGGGGACGCCACAGCTCCCTCCCCCTTTGGGCCTCTGCCGGAGCAGCTGCAGGTCACAGGTCGTGGTGTTAACTCCTTTTCTGGAGGGGCGCTGGCAGAGGAAAGCTCTGGAACACGAATAATTAGTATCCGTTTTCTTCAAGCGGATGTGCTTGCGGACGCTCTGAACCTCCTCCAGGGACACTAGAAGGTGGTGCCTACGACGGTGGTTGTCATAGAAGCAAAGACCATCCGTACTTACCCCGTGGCTCAGGGACCCCAGGCTCTTCTTCATCTCGCCCTCAGTCAGGGAGCGGGAAACCTTCTGGGCCTTTTCTTCTTCTGGATAGGAGAAGAAGGTCCCCATCTTCTTGGGGGGCTTAATGAGGCCCCGACTCTCTCCTTTGCTGAAGGTTTTGACCAGCTTCCGGCCAGCTCCCCAGGTCTCCAGGTTGCTCGATGATGGAGAAGTGGCGACAGAGTCGGAATCATCTTCTGGAGGTTTCTCAGAAGAGCCGTCGAAGAAAAACGGCTTCTTGTGCACTCCGGAGTAGAGGGCGGACCTCTCATCCAGGACGGGGCAGTTCTCAGACCCAGGTTCCTCTCCGCCTGGAGAGGGATCAACACAGACAGGGTCAGGCCCCCACAAACACACCTTTGCGTTCTCTCAGACCTTTCTTTCTGCACCCCCACCAGAAATAAGCTAGCCCATGCAGACACCACCGTGACCCCCGCCCCTTGTATCATTTGTACCCTTCATCGGCCTGGCCCCCATGTAAACAAAAGCATGTACAAAAAAATAGCCAAGCTGTGTGTGTGTGAATGTTTGGTTTCACATGAGCTTAATGTTAAAAGGTTTCACATGTGTTTTCCTCTCCCTCTTTAATTAGCTTCATAGACCAAACACCTTAATAGACCTATTACAAGTGCCACTTGGACAATCCAAGCCAGTCACTGCCATGACCATGTTCCTTAGCATTTGAAGATGATTAATCTCCCCAGTTTAAGGGCACTAATCCTCAGAAGCTGAAAATCAGGATCTCTCCGCTTCTGAAAGGCCCTCCTCCTGAGCCTGGTTGCCTGTTTAACTTGGAGTGTGATGCATGCCATGTGGCCGGCAGTGATTTTTTACTGGTGCATATGCCATGTAATTAAACCGCTGAGGCAGCCTGGGTACGGAAACGCCACGAAGGGTCGTGCTTTGCAAATGCAACCGAGGGATGACTGGTCCCCAGTGGACAGGCCAAACTCACAAAGGGAGGGAACTATGTGACCCCAGCCAGGCTTTCCCATCAGCTCAGGCCCTGCTAGAAGCAGCAGGGGCATTTAAGGGCCTGGACACGCCAGCAGCCCCATCGAGCGTTCTGCTGCGTCGCAAGGATTCCAGCTCCTGAAGCTTTTGCCGGAGCCAGGTACCACCGCCAAGCCCTCTGGAGCCCAGTGGAAAGGTCTGGACTTGCTGGCAGGAAAACTGAGTTCTTTTCTGCATGTGTGATGTGCACAGATGTGAGGAGAAGAAGAAGTAGGTCAAACCGTGGGCGGAGTGACCCCATCCGGCTGTGTCCCTTTAATTATAAGGAAACTTTTGAGCATGGCAGGTTTCCACCAGCTGAACTGTGAAGGAGGAAAAAATACAAGGTTTCCTGGAACAGAGGGATGGCGCTAAATATACCAGCTGGGACGAGGGTGCCAGCGTGTGGGGAAATGTCAGCGACACAGGGAGAAGGCTGCTCGCTGCAGCGCAGGGGAAAGATGAGCGAATTGGTAGCAGTCCTTAAAAATGGCAGAAGTTTCTTACTTTTCCAACAGATGGGACTTCACGGTTGCAAAAAGGAAGAAAAGGACCACTGCCACCAGCCCAGCCTAAGACTGACTTAGATGCCAAGCAGATGGGGCGGGGAGAGGGGAAACTATGTCCAGTCGAAAGCTCTCCACAACCCGCAGCACAAATACACTCCCTGAAGACTGGTTCCTGGATCTTTCCAGAGAGTTCAAAATTAGGGTCTAGGGTCCTGACAGGACTTTGCCAGAGCCAAGGCAGTGAGCAAATATCATGAAAGTTTCCGGCTACTTCCTCGGGACATTTGACTTACATGGTATGGAAGCCAAGGGTCTGTCCCTGTGTTGCCAGAAGTACAAATGGCAACCTCTTCTAGAGAGTCTTCAGTCCTTGGCCAAGACGAGAGGTACAGCCTTCTCTAAGAAAGCAGTCCAGTGACAGGTCATGGCTTTACCCGTAGTCCAGGTGTCCACGGAGGTGTGCAAATGCCCTTACCTACCCACAGTGCTTAGGGGCTTCAGGGCAGCCAGGGGAGTTGACTAAATAGATTAAAGCCCTGTCACTCAGCAGTGGGCTGGAAATCTTCTGGGCTCTGTCTTTAGGCCTGTAGTCAGAGACTGCAATACGTCCACGTCACATCTGAGTTTGGGACCAGCTGGGGCACACATAGCCATGTCTTATGCAGTTCTACCTCCTGGTCCTGGAAGCCACCATCTACTGAGGAGTCTGGAGGGACATGCGGCCCCCCAGGGTGCAGGCTCTTCCGTCTGCAAGGCCCCCAGCCCTGAATCCCCAGCCTGGACTTGACTCCTTGGGTCCAGAGCACTGCTTCCTCGATTCTCCTGAGTGGAAAGTAGGACTACCCCACAGGGAGAGTGGCCATCGAAAGTGCTCACTCTGTCAGCACGGGGTGTGATCTGCTTCCCACAGTCACCTTTATCTATTGTATTCAGCTGAGATAAGAATTCAGAAGGAAAGGCGACGTTGAGAGGATCGCACGTGGGATGACTTAAGGCTGAGAACACAGATTTATGCCCTGGACCTCAGCCCTGCTTCTGCCACTCAGCATCTCCACCACCTCGGCCAATCACTCCAGTCTCTGAGTCGGTCTCTTAGTAATACCTACTGTGAGGGCACTGAGAGGATGAAAGCGAACAGGAAGATCTGTGATGGTGCCCTATGATGCTGAAAAGCACCAAATGGGAGCCGGTGATTCGCTATCAGGTTCCATCAAAAGCTGGAGCAATGAGGGAGTGGGGGTGGGACAGTATTAGCTCCAGAAAAAGACACAGAAATGGACAAAGGGCCCTGTCCTGGCTTACAGTTTAATGTTGTCTAGGATCACCTGTGCCCCAGATAAGGGCTTGAAACTCAAGTTACCAGGTGGGCCTGGGTGAAGGGTTATAACTCTCCAGGATTGTCCAAGCCTGCGGAGCTGAGGGCTGCGGGAAGGCATGAGAGCAGAGCAGAGACCCAAAATGCACAGGACACAGGCTGCCCGGACCTAATTCTGGGTCTTCCCCTGGCTGGCTTGGTGGGGTGACCTGGAGATTACTTCACCTCTTGGTGTCTTCATTTCCTCATTTGTGAAAGGAACATGGTATGAGTCCTGCCTCTGGTGGCCAGTCAGAGGAAGATATAGTAACAAGAACATAAAATCTAAAGTGTTTAGGAAGTGCCTGGCACACAGGGTACTCTCTGTGAATATTCAGACAACTTAGTATTGGTCCAGGCATGCAGGAGGTCAAAAGGATCGCATCCTTGGAAGTCTGGGGCAGGGGCCGGGGTTACTGGGAGTATGAATCTCAACTGCTTGCACAAGCAGGGGCCAAAGTAGCAAGTACCACTTCTTTTGCTAATGAGGAACCTCGGAGGGTTCTATGTAGGGGTTGGAGGGAGTTCTTGTCTAGCAAGGTGTTGGGGACAGCTGACGTAGACACCCTGAGCTACACACACACCTGGGGCCTCTCTAGGTCACAGGTCATGGCTTTGGGGATACCAACAAGCCCAGACAATGGCATCCCAGCTCCCCAACTCTCTCGCGATTCAGCTCACTGAATCCACCCCCCACCTGAGACATGGAACTCATACTGACATGAGTTCAAGCTCAGAGTGAGAAGTCCACTTGGTCATTATTTTCACCCTAGAGCTATCTCTTTTGGTATATATTTTCCTTTGTGCAACTATGTCTCCCAGAGTTGGTTGAATTATTTATTCTGAAATAAAAATGTGAGTTAGAACATTTCTGTGTTTCTAAAAATGTTGTTCTAGTGGAAAGGCTGCCTCAACACAGGTGACTCTCAGGTACGAAGGGGTCAGTACTAACTACTCCACTCATTGTACCTCATTTCTGCACAAGAGCCTCCAACCAGGTTGTGATGTTGAGATTTGTCGCATGTGCATGAGGTTTCAGAATGCGATGCCCCCAAAAGTCAAAGATGGCGACTCCACATGGTTCTAGTTAATGCCACTGCCGGACACTGTGCGTGATTTCAGTACGAGCTGCCATAGTGAGAGGAAGCCAAGCTCTGTTTTGTGCTATGAAAACTGTGACCGGCAGACAGGCATCCAGACTCCCAAACGCAAAATCGGCATTGGGTCCATGCGAGAAAGACACCCAAACAAAACCCAGGTGATTCAGTACAACTCCAAGGTTATGAAATGGGCCATCAGGCAGCTCTCTCTCACTTCCTCCTCCGTCCTCTTCCCTTTTAACTTCCTCTGTCCCACAGTCACCACTTCACCTGCCTGCCACATTCCTCCAGGGCATTGAAACTGATAAATAATTACCACAAATTAAAATAAGAAACAGTAATAACCGCAGCAGGAAACCATCATCTACATAAACAAAGGGAAATTCAATTCCCTCCACAGCTTAATTTTATCTGTGTACCAAAAAAAGGTCTCTCTACAATGGTGCTTTCTAAATCTTCATGTTAAAAAGTTTGAATTCCTCACAATGTAGGTGTGACATTTTAATAAGGAATATGCTTTAAAAAAAAAAGGAGATTCTTTCCAGCATTTTTTTCCAGTCATTTTCCAAATAGGAAATCTTATTCTTTCATCTTTTGGGAAAATTTTTTTACAAGACGCTGCAAATGCACGTCACTAACAAAAAGGAAAACAGATCCTACTGTGATTTAAACTGTCACAATTACACTTGAAAGGTTAACTACTCATTCCAATAAATCCAAGCTCATACCCCCTTTGACATTATTGCTTCATCTAACAAGTAGGCTGAGTGGCAACATCGCTCTCAGAGACCCACTCTGCATGGAAGGTGCTTACAGCCTCATCAGAACTGAGACTTGATCATCCCTCGGAGATCTGGGAGGCCGTGAAGTGCCTTAATTGTCAGATGGTCATTTGAGGTGGCTGTCTATCAAATTTCCACCAAATCCACTGAGCAAGAACTGCTGTCCTTTTTTGTGGCAGAGGCTTATGCTAAGAGGAAGTTAAAAAGTAAATTCATATAAAATGATAGAAGCTATATAAGCTCAAAATTAAGGCTGTGTCACACCCGGAGAAGATTTCACTGTCACATACAAGGCAGTTCCCATCTCAGTACTATCTAAAATACTGAGCCCCCAAACGCTGGACGCCAGAACCTTCTCCCCATGCCATCCCGAGCACTGCCCTGCTAACTCGCAGCACCGATTCCCCCTCTGCCAGGACTCAATCCATTTTCCACCTGAAATCGTATTCTTTTTCTACTAAAAAACAGCCCCCACACGATTTGCTCTGGAATAAGCAGGGTGGAGTCTGCTTGCTTACCTTCAGTACTGGGCTTCTTCATTTCTTCCACTCTGATCAGTTTTTTTCTCACTCTGCGAGTGGAGTTCACCAGCTTGTGTAACCTCTTAAACTTCACTGACTCCTCAGTCTCATCATCCGATTGTTCTCTTGACTGGCAAAGAAACAAACAAAAAGTTAATCACATAAATGCTCCAGGGCTTTGCTCTTGCAGCGGGTGCAGCCCAGCCTCACTGCCAGCGTCCGCCCTGGAAGTGCTGGGCTGAACTCCAGGCACCAGCAAATTTGCCCAACAGGTTCCCGCCGCTCCACCTACCATCTTCAAGTCTAAGAAGTGGAGAATCAGGTCTTAAGCAGCACAACACACACCCTTGCCCTTGACCGGCATGGGGTCCATTTTTGTCTCAACTACTTCCCGGTCCTGTTTTAGGAGAACTCTGCAGGACTCTCTCCAAGGCCGGCCCTGTAATTCCCGTTTTCCCTGCTGTGGTTTGGGCCAGGCTCTCATCAGTCTGGCCCATCAGGACTTGCTGTTTAAACGTGGTCACCAACTATTTCTCCAAACCAAAATTCTGTTGACTTGTTCCAGGCCTCCCCGAAAATCAAAACTGGCAGGGCAGGAGAAAGGAAGAGATGCAAAAAGCCGCCTTCTCTCTGGCTCCTGAGGCTGGCTTGCCACTTCTCAGCCATGCCTGCGGCCTCTCCCAGCTCCTTCCAAGAGCTCACCAGGCGAGCCTGAGGACAGCCCCTGCATTCCTCCAAGAGGGACAAGGGAAAAAGCTGACCTTTTCAGGCATACGCTACAGTCCATATTCCCCAGCATCCCATTCCGTTCTGCAGTGATTCAAGCATGCTCAGCCCAGCTGTTTTCCCTCAAGTATCCAACATTACAGACAGAAAAAAAAATTTCTCTCCACAGCAATGACCCAGTCAAAAAACAATCCTTTCCTTGTGCACAAAATGAGGGTTTCACTTCCAAGTCGGCTCCAACATTCGATATGCAGCTTCCTCTGTTTTATCTGTTCAAAATGTAAAAAGGCAAAAGAAGTCTCCAATGAAATGGGCTGCTGCACGGCCGAGCTCCGGCAATCCCGGGAGCACAGAGCCGGCAGCAGTGCGCAGGCGCGGCACACCCTAGGCAGCTGGTGCGGCTCCAGCTAAGGCTGCACATGCTGGCAACAGCTTTCTCTCCGTTTCCCCAAACCTGCTTCACCGAAGGGGTAGGGAGAGGAATGCCTGCCCTGAATACACAGGACAAGCACAAACCACACCTCTGAGCACGAGTCGGATATGGAGTCTGACTCCCCCACAGAAGTGACGCTCATTCATTGAAGCATCACAGATGATAAAAGAGGCAAGGAAGTTCAAGAGGAAACAAGGTCAGGAGTATATGAATTACTGTATTTTATTGTGTAGTAATGGGCTCCCATGTTTTTATCCCAAACTTTCAGGGGAAAAAAATCTTTCGTTTTAATTTTAAAAATCAATTTCTTATTTATACTTAGAAACAAAACCAATGATCCTGTTCCAGGCTACTATTTTGCTTACGGATATCGTTATTGCTTTCTAGAGTTACATGTTTAATGCATACACATAAATAAAAGAATTAAAAAACATTTATATAGATACAGAATTGGTATTATTACCCATGTATAATGTGCATGGTTATTTTTCCCTCAAAAATATGGGCAAAAAGGTGCACATTATACATGGTGAAATATGGCACTTAGGTATAAAAACGGTGCATGTTGTGAGTCTGCAAACATGGCCACGGCACTCTGGCTCTGTGGAAGGAAGGCACAAACAACACAGTTCCTGGCCTCTCTCCTGTCCCCCACCCCCCGCCCCCTGCCATAGAGCTCCCAGCACGGGGCTGCTGTGCCTTCTCCCTGCACAACCCCAGCAAGACATTTACCCACTAAAGAGCAGTTGTTACATCCCATGAATGACAAGTCATAGAACGGGGGGATTTCTCAGGCCTCCGTTCTGTGAAGAGTGTTGATGTCCATGTACAATTTCTCTAAAATTCCTAGATGTACTGTTGCATACAATTTCCAGAATTTAGGTTAACTACTAGTTACCTGGTGACTAAGAATAGAAATTGCACCCAGGGAATAGGGGAGGGAGGCTACACTGCATGCTAGCAATGAGGCTTACTGCATTTGGCCTAAAACTCAAAACGTAAAACGACTGGAACACATATACTTCCTCCTCTATAATGATCTGTCCAGTTTGAACTTCACTGTTACTTGACTGAATTGTTATGGGCGGTGAAACAGTAGCAGTGCCAGAGGAATGAGACCCTCTTTTTGGGTAATCAGCACCTGAACACACCACAATGAAGGAATCGCACAGAATCACTTGAAAAACTTCTGCCTTCTGGGGTTTGTCAATAGCCAGAAAAGTCTAGTAGAAGAAAAACCAACAGCAGATGACAGAAAGGCTCCGTATGAACCGATGGGACAAACCTGTGTGTCTGTGTATGTCCGTAACCGGCAGGTTAAAAAATCCTGAAGTGAAAAATGACGTGTACGTGGTTTACAGTCTGAATAAACGTTTCTGATCTGTGACTGTATGCACCTCACACCTGGTGTGGGGATTGCTGCTGGCTGTGGGGGGCACGCGTGGGGGGGGGGGAGGTAAAAAGAGCAATAGAAAACAGAAAGAACTAGTACAAAAATCTTCGGCCCGCAGAGGCATAAATCATATACACAGGAAACAGGCCATCAGAGGGGACTGTTCCGGGGAAATCAAAAAGGCTAACCGAGGACAACGGACTCAAAGGCAAGGGGCCTCACCCCCGCCCCGCCAGCCCTGACGTCCGCTGTCCAGAGTCACTGTGGTGAAAAAGAACATATTCCAGGTATTTATGTAATTGCTTTCACATGTTCCATCTATTTTTGAGAAACAGAAGCTCTTTAGAACTTTGAACTAATATTTACTTTTATTCTGTTAAAAAAAATAAAGATTTGAGGAGTTTACCTCTCTAACAAATCACAAACCATAGGGGCCGGTAACTTTCTTTGCATGACCAGGCTTTGAACACTAGACGAGATAGGTGCAGCACACGCTATATAAAGAAAAATGTCAAATAAAACCAAATGTTTCTTTTTTAAGTGTAGAACCTCTTAAGTAGCCTAGAAGTTACTGGAGTTGAACAGTATATTCCAAGATTATTTTTATCAATAGAGAGGTGTTGATCTCTCACTTCCTCCTGAGTCCAGAGGAAAAAAATTGTGAAATGTTTAAAAAAATTCTCTCCAGCTATTAACATAAAGACTGCAAAGGCATAGCGTTTCTTTCCAACTTAAATTTCTTTTAAGCTTAGCAGTTCACATCTCTCCTTTTAAATAAGCAAGCGTGGGATACTTCCCAAATGCTGGAAATAACATATTGTGTCTTTTCATTCAGAAAATACACCCCCAAATGTGGGGGTGTGAGAATTTACAATTTCCAGCCTAGAATTTAGTAGAAGGTGAAGGAAATCTGCACTGTATATACGATGAATGATTGATTCCAAGAGATAAACATGGAACTATTCTAAGACAGGTTTTCAATAAACTGCAGTGTAAAAAACAGCGACTATTTATATACATGCAAACAGGAGAGAGTCTCTGCCCCCCTCTGCATCCCACCCCGGGGTGGAGTACTAAAAAAAACTTTAATTTAATCATCTGCTAAATGAGAAGGTGAAAAGTCAATTATCTGCACAAAAACCGTCACCTCTAAACCTTTAGTAGAAAAAGGCAATAATTTCTCCCACCAAAGGATGTGAAAAACTGGATTTACAATATTGTAAATAGAAACATTTGATTTCCAGCCTCTCTATTGCAGATTTTTCCACCAGAAAGCCCATATGGCTCAACTTTTAATTACTTTGGCTAATGTTATATGTAGTAATTCTGTGGTGAATGCTAAAGTGTTTCATTTCTGGTTTCCACGGCAACATTACATCAGATTGCAGACAGCTGGCTGCACAGTTTTAAACCATAACAAAGCGACCACGCCAAGGCACAAAACTATAGCTGCTTTAAAGAGATAGCACACCACCGCCTGCCAGGGTGCTGAATGAGGAACCTAGGGGGCCTTCTGGCTTACGAAGGAGGGTGGAGCCTCTTTCCTTCCCAGCTTCTTTTGGAACATGTGCATCCTTGACACATCTGCAATGTTCTAATAGGAAAGACACGGAGCCAGCATGGAGTACTTTTTATAACACAGCTACATGAAGGATGATCGGAAAAAAGAAATGCAATTAACAGCATCTGTTGATACAAACGTTTGTGAGCTGGCACAAACTCAACGCGTGCCCTCGCTGTTCAACAGAAGCCTGTCAGTGCCGGTGGGCGACGTCCACCTGGCTGGACCCTGTAACAACAATCTTGCAATGCGAGGGATAAATGCTTCCCCAAAGCCGCACGGCACAGCGGTGCAGGCAGAGGGGGCACGGGCAGTATAGTATTGAAGGCTAAACTGAACTCGCCAGGAGCAACTAGAACCCTTTGGGGACCGCTGGAGACCACACTGAGTGCAAGATTATAACGGACCCTTTTGAAGTTACCCACTCAGCTAGCTTCCCCCGCTCCGAACACCCCTCACCCAGTCTCCTGTAACAGCCACACTGAGTCAGTCGACTTATCTCCCCAGAGCCAGCACATACCACTATAACATATGTAAGCATTTCTGAAAAGCATTCTGCATTTGGAAATGTGCTCGGCTGTGAAATTCACACCACCACTTCTGGTTCACCCAGCAAGCAAGCAGACATAGGCGCTGAGAATTCCTAAGTCCGCTTTATCAGTGGCATCAGCCTCACGGTTACGAGGAAGCCGATCGGTTGCAGCTTTCGGAGAAGCGGTGTGCCATGCTGCCCGAGGTCGAGTCCTCCGCACGGAAAGAAAGCCCCCACAACTGGCAACTGAGCTCCAACCCCTGCACCCTCAGGCGCTCACATTCTCCCTGTATTGTCACAATAGTGTTCACTCTCCTCCACAAGAGACGCCTCGGCCCTGGGCAGGCTAGGAAAGAAGGCTCAGAGTTACAAGGTAGGGAAGTAAACAAGGGAAGAAGAAATTGAGAGGAATTTGAATAGAAAAGAGGAAAGCATTATAGCCAGATGCAGTCCAAAGCTTTTCCTTGAAGTGCCGGAAAGCACAT